GTGGTGGCCATTTGATAAACTTCAAATATTAAATGAAAACAACAACCTATAAAGTAGACTCAAGAATTCTTAAATTTTGTAAATGATTACATTCGAGGTTTCCAGTGACATTCATGTCAAATTATATAAATAGGGTAAATACTATAGACAACCAGCAAAAAATTTAGATCCTGACAAAATGGCAAAAAAGTGCCATGGTAATCTAATAAAAGGTTTTCCATATGTCATAGCAATTCTATCAAGTGCACGAATTCTTTATCTACCACTGCACAGATTAAAGCTTTAAAATTAAAAAGAATAAAAAACTAATTTTCAAGCAATCACATTTGGCAATAGTATATCTTATTTTTGTTTTTATTTAATACCCTGAGCTGAATTATAAACATAAGATTTTATTTCAATAGAATATTAGTAACTTCTACGAATGTAACATTAAAATTTAAAAATATATTTGGTATAGTGTATAATCCACCTAAGTCTGACAAGAATCACTGAACAAAAACTAACGTCAAGACTTCAGCAATTCCCAGCCTTTTTTAAGTTAAAACATTCCTGTGCCATAGACAAAATACCAGGAGAAAAGGAAGTGCTTTACTATAGATGTTTATATGGTTTTTAAGGTACTATTCGGTTTTGAGGGCCGTAAAAAATTGCCAAACTATTGTTGCCAGTGCTGCCAGAAATAATTGTGGCAATCCTAACGCAAGAAAGGAAGTATAATAGTAAATAACTAAGATTGATGTTTTAATTTAGATGAAAAGTTAATTTCATATAATACTTTTTATTATTATAATTTATATGAAAAAGGCTAAACATGACAATGGAAGCATAAGAGTAAACTATTTCAGATCATTATTATAATTTATATAAAAATTGCTAAACATAACTGAATGGATGCCCGCATAGCTATTTCGCTACCGAGTTATCGTTTAATTTCATCTCGATTGTTCAAACATAATTTTTTATAATTTTTATTCCTTTGGTGAATCTTTACATTATGGTAACTTGATGATTTTTTTGCGCAAATTTGGCGACGAACCCTGCTAGTTTTGTTTTGGACGCCATTTTGTTTTCACAAAGTAAAGGCATTTTTCTTTTTTTTTACTCAACATTTTATCCAACAATCTGCTAGCCGAATTACGCTTATACTAGAACTTTTATGGAACAAAAATGCTTAATCATGGCGAAGATTAAGTGCGAAATTGGGACAAAGTGCAGAATCGAAAGCTGCTTGCCGCGTTTTTAAGAATTGCAAATACACGGTATCCACATACACGTCGACCTATTTTCACTTAAAAAAAAACCCCAGAATTGCACAAAAATGGCATTGTGCACACTCTTGACTTTATCTATGTACACATTGACCTATTTTCACTTAAAAAGTTAAAGAAAATTGACAAAAATCCGATTCTACTTACTTTTGTAAAAAGAGCCAAACAAATAAGTTGGCGATTCTGCACTTTAGCAGCGAAGTTGTGCTTATTAGCTAAAATGACAATCAGAATTTTCCAGAAAATGTCACATCACATGTCTCATGATCTCTCATTCCTCTGAGACAAAATAATCTGCGATTCAAACTGCGTAAATCTCAGATTATTGATAAAGTCCTAGCTAGTAACCTTTATCGCCTTACCAAAATGGGGCCAAACTACCTGTTACCATATTCTAAAGATTAGCCATTCTTGTTTGAAAAAATTCTCGGCAAAGTGAATTTCCCACGCATTTGTTTGCCGCTTTTTACAAAGATAAACAATTGGATTTTTGTCAATTTTCTTTTACTTTTTAAGTGAAAATGGGGTGATGTGTACATAGATAAAGTCAAGGGTGTGCACAGTGCCATTTTTGTACAATTCTGGGGTTTTTTTTTTTTTAAGTGACAATAGGTCGATGTGTACATGGATCGCAAGTATGTGCAATTCTTAAAAACCCGTCAAGCAGTGGGTCATTCTGCACTTTACCTAAAATTCTATTGCAGACTTTCGTCATGGGCAATTCTTAAATTGTTAAATCCATAGGATATCAAAAAGGGATTTAAAATCAAAAAAAGGATTTAAAAATCAAACTAGTATTTCAATGCCGTCTTAAGAAATATAGAACTATATAAACTTACGCAATCTGAAATCAACGCATACGCTAGAAATGGCGCACTGTTTAATGTGTGCGTTTGCTAGATTTGGCGCTTTTGCGCATACATTTTTGCTGCAATTTCTTTATGGTCCTCAAAACAGAATAGTACCATTTTTAATTGTGTTAATTTGTTACCATTTCATGTAATTTAAAGTGTTTTGTTATGGATGTTTGTTCTCATTTTTAGTGCTTCTTTATTCATGCTCCTCGAGTTTTCAGCTTTGTTACGTCATTGTTGTTTAATGTAATAGTCAACACTGCAACATTTTTTCAAGATGGCTACAGTTTTTCCACATGCTAGGTTAGGTAAAAATTCACCAGAGTCGAAAAGCCGCCAATGCTGGAGACTTAGGGAGAGGGTTCAATGAATAATGGAAGAGTACAGTATATTTTTTGGCAATACCATTCATTTCATTCTGTTTTTCAATAATAATTTTTAAAATCTCAAAACCTATTTCAGACTAGAAAAACTTTTTTCTGACTACAGCTGTCGATGCCTTGGCTAGCAAAAACTGAAATGCTGCTAAGGAACACTGTAGAACTGCCAACAAGTTCTCTAAGAAGCAAGTTAGGTTAATCTTTGGAATAAATTTTAAAATTAATAAATTTCTTAAGCTTGTTGAAATAAAACACATAACTTATGTATTTCCATTTTGAAATACAGAATGTGACAAAAACTTAGCAATAAAAATCTGCTTTATATAAACAGAAAATACTGGGAAAATTATCTTGTTCAGCGTACCATATTTATATATTAGCACAGGTGTTTATCCTGTGAGCAATAAAAAGCTTTTATTTAATAAAAAGCTAGGGGTTTTATCATGCAGATTTTTTCCTGGTCATCTACATGTGGTAAATATAATCCTGGTTACAGCACAATTATAAACATTAATATAGGGCAGGTTCTCTGAAGATCAACAATACTTAGCTAATGATGAACAATTTTTTTTTTTAATTTTGTAACGGATCATAGCACATAAAACTAAACTTTGATAAGTAAAAACCAACAGTTCAAAAATATAAGAGTAACCAAAATTCAAATTGATGTGATTTATAACAAGCTATGTTTAGAAATATAGCTATGTTCCTACACTCTGAAGACACATCGCAACATCTATTTTAAAGCATCATGTGAAGCTAGCATACAGAAAGCATAGCAAAGGATTCATTTAGAACAAGCATTCAAAATCTTTTAAAATAGCATCAAATGCCTGAAATGAAATCAAAATATTTTTCTATCTATGCACACCTACCTAATTTGCAGTTTTTGAAATCAGAAACAATTTTTTAATTGATAATGTTTGCAGAATACAAATGCATCAGTAAAAGCACTTATGACTTTTTTAACACAGTTTTTTGAAGAATTACATTTTCCAAACTATAACTATAAACTACTTATTAACTTGTAACTAGCGAAGGATTTGACTCTCAGCCCCAAATTTCCCAAGCCTCACAAGAGAAAAACTTTTTAATGATAATACTAAAAATGCCCCCAGTATGCCTTTTTTCTTTTAATGTAATGCTGCAACATCTCGGGCACAGTTCAAGATGCATTCATAAAATGACTTGGAAACGTGACAAAAAGTATTCTAGAACATACACATGCTAGAGGATTAATTTCCATACATCAAATGATCAGTTTTAATACTTCTCTTATTAACAGTAAAATTAGAAAATATTTAAAATTAACAGAAACACAATTTAATTATTGCACTAACATTTACACTATGATATGCTTTAAGTGCATTATTTTATGCTGCTGAGGCACACACTGTATTTAATTTTTAAAAAACTTCCAAAAAATTTTATATGTATTAAAACTATTCTAAAATAAAATTCATAACACTCGAGGGAAGTGAGAAAGTTTAGTTGGTGAATACTGAATGAATGATCGAATTGAGATTACAACATGGTTGATAAGAAACAAAATACGGATTACAAGTTCAGATCTTTACACAAAGAACTAGATTAGGATATAAAATGAATATTTTCCAAACTCTCCACTTCCGAAGACTACTCAAAATTATGTAACAGCAGCATTATTGCGGACCAAAGAAAATCATTTCCTACTATTCTATTTCATATACCTTGTAGAAAGATGTTTACAGAATTTTACCAACACATGGCTATTACTAAATAGGCCCCAAAAATTATCCATAGAAAAATATAACAGGTCATTTGAAACAATCGTTAATCTCACGAACATTGATTCTTACTGATAAGATCCCACAAAGCATACGAATGATACTTAATCAACTAGCTACCATTTCTATTTCTTCACCAGCAAAATAAAAGAAATATTTGTTTTGTTCTGCGTTTTACTTATTTTTTTAACTAATCAGATTTAGGATTTCCTAGAAATTCATTTTTGAAAGCTGAAAATATTTGACTTCGAAAAAACTGCAACATTTTATTACTTTTGTTAATTGTTAATCACTTTAAAAAGATCGTTGAAAATAACACAATAAAGTTTTCACCGTAAATTATAAAACATGTTATAAAGACACACCATCAAATAACGTGGGATCACTATGAAACAGTAGATTACTTACCGGGGAACCGAAAGTGGGGAAAAAAAAAAAAAAAAGTCTTAAACCATTAAACTCATAGATGCAGCTGCTAGCAGATTGGATCTTATGAAAAACTGCTTTTAAATTTTTTAGTAAATTATGATACTACATTAACGAACAGAGACATCGTACGGGAAATGGCAAAGATCACCCATGCATTCCGCATACATCTCAGACCAAAGAAGCCATTTCTTTTTTTCGAAAGATTCAACAACCAACAAAATACTATATAAATCAATTACTTAATTATAACAAAAACATACTGAATTAAACTTTATAATGTATTTCAAACTAAGTACTTACGTTTGTTTGATTAATTAATATTTGGAACAAATACGAAGCAACCTCCAACTCCAGCAAATGGCCGAATTACCAAATCACACGATTGGGCGCCTAAGAATGCCGATACTTACACCACACGTGGGCTTTGCGGAGAAAGCAGTTTCGCGCGACACCTACACGAATTTAAAAAAAATAAATATTTTACAAAAGCTACACAAATACTACACAATTATTCTTCGGTAGCTATCTCATAAAACTCTTGTTAATGATTGATCATAGTCAGTAAATTTTTTTGTTTAAAAAATAAATAAAACAGCTCTCCGTGAAATTTCAACAAAAAATTTAACTTTTCGAAAATGTTTTGAAATTTTAATGCTGTTGAATTTTTTTCAAATGGCACATATATTCTATTCATTTTCTTAGTCTTCCTGACATTATTACTCATAGCTAATTTCGGAGACTTCTCACTCTAACATAGTAATTTTATTTTCTACTTAATTCAATTCCTTCCAAATTATAGGTCCATACATTTCCTATCTTTAAAATTTATCCAAATTATACTATTTGAATTCTAACGCTCACAGGAAAGAAGCAAAAATTTCAAACAGGAGAACAATTTAAAATTAACAAATGTTTCACTATTTGATAAAGAATCAATTTCACTGGAAAGGAAATGGTCGGTTTGAAACTGATCGAAAAGTAAAAGAATACAGTTGCTCCCAAAAGTGTTGGTACACTTTATTGTACCCCAAAAGTGTTGGCGCTGTAGCCCTGTACTAAATTCGAATATAAAGTCCAATATGTTTTTGTATCATCTCCATGCTGCTTTCAATAAAACTAAATTTTTTTTAATACTGACTCATTTTCCTTTTCGAAAACTGAAAAATGTAAGGAGGTATATAGAAAACACGCCACAAAAGTGATTGTACACTGAAACATTATCGTATTTTTTTTTTATACCATTTTTGCATTTTGATGACGTTTAAAGATTTGCTTCACTATATTCCTTTACTTGCTTACTTCGTTTTATTTTATTTAGGGGTCTAGTCTGGACACTGGTCGAGATCGATGTCGATAAACCAGTCTGGATTTCCTTCTCACTCGACACCAGACGGGAGAGCGAGGGCCGTATCTTCCTTGCGGGCGATGAGATCTCGATACAAGAGTGACGTCACATATGACGGGTTTTTCGTGCGTAGCGACAATTTGCAATCCTCGAGCACCGATCGAAACCATTTCGTGCGGCGTAGCGATCGTCTGGTTTTCGGCTGCTTATGTGCAACTTTAAAAATCTTGCGATCGAAAAGTAATGGCGTCGGAGAATGTTTAGCGATTATCTTTTAAAATGAATACTCATCGTAATTCATTCAAAGAAGAATGTTCCGAAGCAGACTGGATACGTTTGCATTCTCGTAACTTTATAAGTTATTTAGGG